ATTCATATATACTCGATCGGGTATACTCTTAGAAAATACCCTGAAACCGGTCGAGTATACCTCGGATCGGGTGTTACACACATACTCGATCGGGTACCATGTATATACCCGATCGAGTACCCGAATCCCATCCCAAAAGCCTATAAATACACCTCCTTTCCTTCACAAAAAGATATCCAATTCCTTTGTACATCTAAGCTCAGTATAGAATAGCTCTTTCTTTATATTTTTCATCATGTTTAGTCTCCAAATGAGGAGCTAAACTCTTCCATCTTACTTTTGCTACTTTGAAGCTTAATGAATTTGTAAGTTGTGAGTTATTTTCTTTAATCTTCTTCCTTGAATATTAATTCTTTCTTTCAAAATACTATCTCTATATCAAAGTTGGGGAGTGTTACTAAGATGATAATTAGTTAACATCTTGACATTGGTTATAGTAATAGTTATTTCTTCCTCTATGATAATATTGGGGAGTGTTACTAAGATGACAATTAGTTAACATCTTGATATTAATCATAGTAGGATTCATATATTTTAATATTCTTCCTTGAGTATTAATTAATTCATATTCATATTTCATGTTAATATTTTAAACATTACTTAAAGTATCAACTAGTATTGTTTCTCATATTAATTATTACTAGAATCAATCGGTTAATACACTTGTTATTAATCCGGTTCTTTCAATGGTAGTAAACTTGGAATATTAATGCATGCATCTCATGGTTAATATGCCAAGGGGAATTAATTATATTGATTAAACCAATAAACCGCTTGTGTTGAGGTTATCAATCTCAATCGTTTTCATCTTAAGTTTATTGCTACTATCAAGTTAATATACGGCGCTTGTTCTATATTGACTCGATAGTAAGTTTTATTAATGAACGCATCTCGTTATTAATAACTATCCTCGATGAACTGGAGATACTCCTCGATTGAGTATTCGAGAGGAAGATAGTTAAAGATATAACCGGGATCGACGAACATTTCATTAAGTGGATAAAAGCAAAACCAAATCCTCATCTCATTGAATTAAACTCATATAGGTTGTTTATCTTAGTGTTGTTAAAACAAACAAATCTAAACCCCCTTTGTTACTATTTTTATAAAAGAAAAGTATTCCTTTCTCTGTGGATACGAACCTTACTACACTATACTACGTATTAGTGTTGTATTGATTAATTATTTTGAGTGCACCTAACGACGAGTGCACGTCAGTTACGTACTTCGATTTCAGCAAGGCGGGGTGGCAGATCGGTTTCCGACTCATCACCGTGCGGAGTCCAACAATGTTTGATGACTTTGAGGATAGAAACCCTCTTCTTTTGAGGCCCCGCCTACAAGGTTCGAAAAAGGTTTAAATAAATGTAAAAAAATAAAGGGTTAAAATGGTGTAAGGTTTATTTGAATAAGACTTACAAGAGCTTCTTTATGTTTACTCTGAGGTTTGCGGCCTCCGTGCCATTGTGTCGTCAATGCCTTCTCGGACATCCGATTTTTCTTCCCGGCTTCGCTTCTAGCCAAGAAAGTCGGATCCGAAGACCAGTGGCGGACGAGGTTTTCCCATACCTCATCCGAACACCATTGAGGCCTTACCCCACTGGCTCGGGCACGCTTAAAAGTGGGACGAAGCCAGTTTGAAACTCTGACATTGTACGCCCTTAGAATAGCGGGACCTTGTTCTTTAGTCCAGCGAAACCGGGCCATTATTAAAAAAATAAATTAATTTATCATTTGTCAAATTTTAGGTTACAACAATAACGGAAAATTCATTTTTTTTTACCTTGAACAGGTTCCACCAAAGTTCACGGACCTTGGGGTCAACATCCGTGTACGTAGCCCAGTTGCCAAGAAAGTGTCCACCAATTATGATTTTGATTTGGTTCAGCACTTCTTGATCGCTTCAAAAAAATAATGATATTTTTTATATCCGTTTGGTTAGATTATTTGACATTAGATAAAATTATTTGACATTAGATAAAGTTCATAGTTACTTACTTAGCAACCATGTGAGGTGTCGCCCATTCCGAATCTTCATTGTTGCGATCGGCTTGGGTTAAGGGCGCATAGTTCGGGCGAGCACGGGAGGTTGATTGTTCATTGCTCATCTAAAATAATTGATTAATGAGAAGTATTAATTTACATTTTCAGATAAGTTTTCGTATTTAAATTTTATAAAAAACATTTTATATAAAAGCAGTTTTTTGTAAGCAGTTTTTTGTAAGCAGTTTTTTGTAAGCAGTTTTTTATAAACAGTTTTTTATAAACAGTTTTATAAACAACATGGAAGCAGCGAAGCAGCACCCCGCCACACCGGAGCCAGCTCACCAACGCCGATCGCTCATGCCCGTCCCGCTGTCCCATTGTCCGTTGTCTGTAGTCCGCCCTTTCGATAGGTTTTCCCATTTTTGCCTTTAATTTTTTAATGAAATTAAATGTTTGGTGCTCCGTATTACATTATTGAATTATTACAATTCATAAATATGGTTTGAAGAATATGTAGTTTAAAATAGTTTGAATTAAATCTATTATGTATTATTGGTAACAAATTATGAATTTATAATAGTTTGAATGAATTATAATTTTTCGATAATTATTATGAGGGAATGTCAATTGAGAATGTTAGTTTGATATTACATTTGTTATGTTTTATTGGTTCAATTTGTTGAGATAATATTATTATTAATTTGATGATTTACATAGATAATTGTGCCCCGTTTACATTATTTTATAGTTCCGCAACTGTATGGGATGACCATAAAAAGAATTTTGGCCAAGTTTCGTGTAACTGAGTATATGTACTATATGTACAGTTTAGTAAGGGTCATACCTTTATAAAAAGAGTCAAAACAGACGGTGGGAACCTGATTTGGTGATATGTGAACAATGGAATTTTTAGTCAAATAAACAAATGTTGGAAATAGGGAAACATCAAACAAGCATGACGTAATTAGTGCACAACCCATCATTATTATTGCCCAAAATGGTGTGAATAAAGTTTATGTTTCTCTTCCCGTCGAATTAATTAATGTATACGACCAGCTTTCGCACTTTAATTTACTGGCGAATCAATAAAGATGATCGCTAGCTACTTCTCACTCACCCAGAGCGCATTGATGCCCATCCATTATAACATGCACCTGTTTAAAGCAGACGCACTAATTTGATTAAGGATGGGCTACTAAGTTTGTTTGGGTAATGAGGATTTTAATTTGAAGGGGTTTAATTTGGCTGGCTGACAAAGTTTTTGGATAATGGTGGTGTTTAGAAAATGACGTTTCAGTCAATAAATTGCGATTTGATTCTTTTTAACCTTTTTAATAAATGAAAGTACTGTTTGGTTTATACCTGTTCGGTCCTAGCGTTTTTGGACGGAATCGTTGAAATGCAAGCGCTGTAAATAAGAGAATTTTGGATTAGCGTTCTGAAAAATGATGTTTTCTACTCATTTTTATGAACAAACAGTCAAATTATCAAACATCTTCTGGCTACCAGCCAACTTATTCCGCTATTGAAAGTCACTGAGCGAATCCACTATTTACATCTTGCTATGCTCTAATCATTAACCGCTAAATACCAAACACGCCCAATATAATACTACATAATATTTATAGCTAGACTACTCAAATTGTTACTTACTTCTTGCGTTCTTGAATGAATTGTTGAATTTTACAATATTTACAAATTCTATTTACTTATATTTTATTTAATATTTACAATTTCTAGTGACTACAGGAAGATGAGGCCGTCAGCCGTGTGGGTACTGGATAGTAAAAACTCAAAACTGACCAAAATATAATGGTGGTAATTGTGTTAATTTGGTCCAATTAAAACTTCAAAAAGTGTAAGTAAGAATAATGTCATGTTTCATAATAATGCATTATATTTTCTCTGGATATGAGTATTGAATTCCATACTTGGAAAATAATGTCAACTCATCAACTTTTGCATTTAGGTGTGTATCAGTTCAAAACCGGACCAAGTCAAATCGGACAAGAACCGATAATAATGCATTATATTTTCTCTGGATATGAGTATTATATTACGTTTTTTTACCAGAACTGAACCGATATCTAAATTATTAATTTTTTAGAAAAATGAAACTAATATTTTTGTAAATATGGAGTATTTGATATTAATAATGTTTAGAGGCAGCTTTGGAGGAGTAAGACCAGACATTTGCCTTGGGTCTCATACTCTAGTGGGGCCTCAAAAAATATATCACTACGTAATAGTATAAAATATCTATTTTAATTTTAATAGTTTGGAAGCAACCAAAATCCCAATCTTTCATTTTCCCTAATAAGTTAGAATTAAGGTTAATAGGTTATTGGGTTCATATTAGTTTCTCCGTATCATATTTTCGGTATATTGGTAGTCCAAAAATGCATAAAGTAATTTTAGCTTAAAGTAATTGTCAGGCTCGCAACCATCACATTGATATATTATTGAAGTAATGTTTAATTTAATTTGATGGGAGTAGTTATTTGTATGATTTTTTATTTTCACTAACAATTGTTTATTTTTGAATTTTAGCTTTTTTTTGACTGCTTTAGTTTGTGATTTTTATGTATGTTGCTCACAATAAAAAATCAAGATTTGTAGGGATTAAAAAGTACTACTTCATCTCATTTTAAAGTTTTCATTTAAAGGGCACAACTTTTAGTTAATAATTAAATAAGCTAATTTGAGTATAATTCAAGAAATAGTTTGGAAAAGTATAGAATATAATGGAGTAACCGCAACAGATTATAAGTGCAATGTTATGAAAGTATTAATTCTAATATGTAATGGTTAAATTGTCGTTAAAATTTTCTAAAATGAGAATGAGAACTTTTAGATGAAACATCCAAAAAGGATAAATGACAATTTTTATCTGGAGCGGAGGATGGGTAAGTTTCGATCCATTTTACATTTTTTAGATTTTAAAATGTATTATTTTGATGTTCATAGTATATAATCCACTTTGAATATGCGTTGTAGTTTTTCATTTTTGGTGTAAACGATGTTGCGTTTTCCATTCAGCCCACTGCCAACCCCTATTCTTTTAAGTCTTCTAATCACTCTATGCTTACCTCTAATTCTTGATCAGTGCCATCTTTTATTTATTCAGAGTGTTTTCTAGATCAGGCACCACACCATAGATCACGTACATACATATGTCCATACATTCTATTCATCATATTAGGTCGGACGAGAAAATCTAGAGGGACAAAACCGGGAAAGATCAACGATGGTCGTCCGACCTTTGAGAACGAGTTCTGCCATAGAAGCACCAGTGGCGGGGCCATTTAGGATACCCCAACAGCTATGACCCGTAGCAACATAGCATCCGACCACGCCGGGGACTTCCCCGATAACAGGAACATCATCGTCTGTACAAGGTAGAAAGCAGGCTTGCTCTGCCCTTACAACCGCTGCGTCTGCCGCCAAATGGCTGGACACATTTTGGGCCACTCTCTTAAGTGTCCCTATTGATTCTGGGTCAGGATCTATCTCTTCCGGGTCATCTGGGACCTCAGCCTTTGCTGACATTCCACATATGTACACCTCTCCTATAGTTGGGCAAAAATATAAAATTATCGGAGCAAATATGAGAAATCGGGAATACAATAATGACCTTAACGGGATAAGTTACTAAGCATTGTAACAACACAAATTTCAAATTCAAAGTAAAAAATATAAAATCACTTCAACTTCTTTAATGGAGACTGTATTTGCAACTACCCTTCAATGAAATTTTGTCTTATTCCTTTGTGTTTTAGAAATTTCGGTAACAAACAAAATTTAGTGGACCTAAAAGAAAATGAAAGAAACATGCTCAAAATATACATCCATAATTTTATTCATAGCCTGCTATTCACAATCACCAATTTGATTATTAATAAATTATTAATTACATATCATTATAAATTTATAATAATTCTACACACTTCATTTCTAATCACTACAGTTTTTTCTTTCTTTTTTTACTCCAGGGGGTCTGGGAGAGGGAGGTTGAGGGGTCTGGAGTAATGAGGGCTGAAACTCAACTCATTGAGTTTCAAGCCCTTGTGTGCCTAGCGGGTTTCGAACTCGAAACCTCCCATTAGGCACGGTAACCTCACAACCAGCTGGGCTGGAATGTTTGGTTCTAATCACTACGGTATATGTTAATATTAATCATCATAACTTTAATATAATGTATATTAGCATTATATATACTATGTACGGAGTATTATTTTTTGTTATTCATCTACATAATACATAACTAATGTGTAGTATAAAATATGGAGAATATTTTTACTACTTACGACCGAAAATAACAATTTGATATAATTATTATGTGCATAATTATCGCACTCTAAATTTAATAATTATTCATACTGAAAATATGTATTTATCCAATAACCACATATATCGAACACGAATAGAGAGGATCGATACGAATAGAGAGGATTGATATGAACGCAATTTACGAGCTTAACCAAACTTATTGATCGGTTCAATTAGTCTGGGATACACACATATGCGTTTGATATCCCAAAACAATACCACAGATATTGAGCTCTGCCTTTCTATTAATGATAAAGAATTATTGAATCTTGTGAAATTATGTACTTTAGTACTTTGTAATTATTGAATCTTGTGAAATTATATACTCCCTCCGTCCCGCAATTAAGATACCACTTTCCTTTTTGGACAATCCCTAAATTAAGTTCACACTTCCTTACTTTCCTTATTTGGCTAATTATCTACATCAAAACTGTGTCAAACAGTGCCAAACAATGTTTGAACAGTGCAAAACTGTGCCAAACAGTGTTTGAACAGTGCAAAACAATGCAAAACAGTAAAGTCAAATTTATTTTCTTAATCTGTGTGAAGTCAAACAGGTAACTTGTTTCGGGGATGGAGGGAGTACTTTATTACAGAGTACTAAACGTGTAAATTTTGTATTTTAAATACCAAATTTATATTAATTAATTGAGTTGGTAGCCGTAAATAGTAATTTGGTGGTAACAAATAGAATTATCGAACATGGCAACATACATAAAGTCGGCTATGAAGAATGATGATAGTTCATATGAAATTTCATATCTTGTACTATATTTCTCCCTATTGCTCAAAACATAACAAATACACATAATATCATACGATCGACTAGGTCAGGTCATATTAGAGCAAATTTAAATATAGATCATATCAAACATAAGTAAAAAAGAAAATTTATGTCTAAGAATATTTAAATATGGATAAAAGTAATGTAAAGTAAACTATACACATGGAATTCCAATCACAACATAAGATTTTCTACCCGGAAATTTGTATATTATTGTTAAGTTCTATATATTACGGAGTATAAGCTAAAAGGTATCAAAGTGTAATAATAACAAAGAAAAGACTCCAAAATATTGACAGTGATGACTATACGATGATAGTAAATATTATCATGTTACTCCCTATATTCTAAGTAGCCGTCCGCAACGCTAGATGTGGCTGCAATATTGCAGTTGCGGGAGGCGGCACAAGAAGGGGAGGCCCGGAACCGGCCCGGGTAACCCCCGGGTCCGGGCCGGGCCTCGGGGTTTTTTTTTTTTTGGGCTTTTCCTAGTTAACCCCCACCCCTCCCCCTCACCCCCAAACCAACCCTAACCACCTCAAATGGCCCAAAATACCTAGCCCAACCCAAAAACTCAAAAAAAATTCAAAAAAAAAAATTAAAATTGGCCCGGCCCGGGCCCGAACCGGCCGGGCCAGTTCACCTTTTGAAGGGCCCGAGCCCGAACTGAGAATCCACCGGGCCGGGTGGCCCAAACCGGCCAACCAACCGGTTCCCGGGCCGGTCCGGGCCTGCACAGTGGCGGGCCGGTCCGGGGCCGGGCCGGGCCAACCGGCCCGAGTCCACCCCTACAAAATAGGACTAAACAGGTTTTGAAATAGGAGTAACCATGGTTTTAAATTGCGGTAGCGACAACGGTTGCGGCTAATGCGACCATTGCAATGCATATTGCAACCGCTGCGGTGTGAAATATTTTAAAGTTTGGACAACATAGGAAAATAATGATTTTTTTGTATTCTTTCACAATTATTCTATAACAAAATTAGTGGTTGACAAAATTAGTAATTATATGTAAACAATTACAAAACAATCAATAAGAATGCAATGATTAAGTCAATAATAATTACAAAGGTCTTTAAATTAAATAAGCATTACAAATACAATTAGAAAGATTTTCCAACTAAATAGGCCTTAATAGGTCTTTACATTCATAATTGTTAACTAAATAATTATTACAATCACAATCACAATTCAATACAAATCTGACATGATATTAAATTTAAAAATGATACACTATCACCACCCAATAATACATCTCTGATTCAATTTTCCTTTGAAACTAAAAAAAATACTAGCAGTATTAATAATAGTAGTAATAATTTATAATAATAATAATGATAATCTTTTAATATATAGCAACATAAAAGGATGGTGTTTGGGCCCGATCTCACTATATCACCTTGGGCCTTTTGAAGCCCTATTTTGATTAATCTTATTAAAGCCTTATCGAGTCATAATTGGAAGGTTGCAGTTGGTTAATTCGCTCCCACTCTAACCCTGAAATTGTTCCCACATCTCACGTACCCTATTTTGTTTGACCAGTCAGGTGGAACTAACAAGCCATGGGCGTTTGAGAGTACTTGCTATAGAATGCTTCAACTCACGAAATCAAGACAAAAAACCCATTAAACACCCACACAATCGGAAGCCTGAAGGTATCAACTTGGGGTGATAAACGACACAGGGATTCTGTGGTGATGCGGCTGATTGCGGCCGGTTGCGGCGTGATGCGGCTCCGTCGCTGGATTTCTCCGTGAGTTAAAATTTCATCGTTGTAGCGTCCCGATGCGGTTGTGCCGCCTCCCGCAACTGCAATATTGCAGCCACATCTAGCGTTGCGGACGGCTACTTAGAATCTAGGGAGTAACATGACAATATTTACTATCATCGTATAGTCATCACTGTCAAGCACTAGGTAGGTATTAAACATGGCAGCATTACTACTATTAATAGCAATTGATGGATTTACCGACCTTAGGGGTATCAGAAAACCGGAGAAGAGACTAAAAACTGTTAAATGTAGATTGAGTAGAAAATTTGGCAGAGTAACAATAAACTAAAGCGCAAGAGAACTCGAATCTCTTTCCCCAAGTTAGAAGATCATACTTATAGTGTAAAGAAAATACTAGGGCACCAAATTAAAAGATGTTATTCTAATAATATGGCGACACATGTAAAACTTGATTGAAAAGAGATTGGAGACAGTTGGCTGATTGGTACTATATAATATGGAGACGCATGAAATAATTTGATTCCCTTTGTACTGGAACACGCGTGCAAGCCACATGTGTGAGTTATGAATCCTTCTGTGAATAACCATTTGGGCAATGTAAGCCCTAGACAGTTGTCATGTTGGTGACGTAGTCGTGTATACTGGTGTTGAACTTTAATACTGAAAAATAACCAAGTCCATAATCTTCCCCGAGGCCAAGGGCTCTACGAAACTTGAGCTCTGGGAAAGTACATTCACTTGAGGAGAGGATGGCCTCAGTTTGCTTGTGCGAAGTAGTTAATGCTCCTCTTAGTTCTTTGACGTCGCGCTCAAACAAAATGAGATGTGGGAACAATTTCAGGGTTAGAGTGGGAGCAAATCAATCTTCATAAGTGAGTTCGAGCTCACTTACTTTTTCTCAATCTTCATAAGTAAGACAACATTTGTATATTTTTTTCTTTGTAAAAGTAGAGGGAATGCATATTTCACCTTCGACGTTTCAACTAATATTTCATATGTTGAATTCCAACAAATAGAACAATCTATAATTAACCTTTTAGTTGGAATTGCTAAATGATGCACAATCTCAGAAAAAATGAGCAATCTAGCCTCAGATTGATTAATCATGAAATTAATATCAGAAAATCTATCTTGAACAACAAAATTTAAAATGTTTGCAGCACACCACACATGAAACAACTTTTCATCTAACAACAATTTTTATTGCTAGAGAAAGTACATTTGGCAATTTGAAGCGCAACATTATTGTTAGAGGTATTGTCCACTGATACGGTGAAGACTTTGTGCTCTATTACTCATTTTTTATGCACCTCATAAGCGCATTAAAGCTATCAACACCTAACATAAATATTCAAATATACACATATAATATCAATTTAAACTTATTGTTTCTTTTGATATTCAAAGAATGACTTTTTTGTTTCTTTTGATTTTTAGGTAACCTAGAATACCCGTTTTACATTTTTTTGTAAGATAAGTTACTGCCAAAATGCAGAAAAATTAGAATGCACTTACTGCCAATAAAAAAGAAAAGAAATTTTTCTCTAATTTTCATTCCTTCCATATTTTAATGCATCAAATTATCACACATGAGAAAAATTATACATAAAACCTAAATCTCACAAGCATGGAGGAGAAAGAGCCATGAAATTGAGGACACAACTTTTGAACTTGCCATAGTGAATCCACAAAGTGACCAATCACACACATGTAGGATTGGTTTT